GGGGAGGCTTAACCCCGGCGGGCTGTGAGGGTTTAGAGCGGGGTCCCCGCCCGTCTTCCAGGGGCTCCGGCCCCTGCCGCGGGGGGAGGCGATTCCGCGGGGCCGGTGTGACGCCCCGGGTCGTGAATTTTCCAAGAACGGGGGAGAGCGGGCGGGCAGCGCCGGGCGGTGTGAGCGGAGCAACAGCGGGACCATCCGCAGTAGAGGAACTGCGGGAACTCGCTTCACTTTCTCGAGCTGGGACCATTAAGGCAGTAAAAGCGGAGCTGGAATTGGCGCCAGGCGCTCCGCTGGTGTGAGTCCCTGAGGTTGTAAAGTAAGTCAGAAGGAGCTAAAGCACACCAGCTCTTGCACTTATTTATTGTGATTTTTTACTTTTCCCCATTTCGGGGAGAGAGCTGGAGGAAGTAGAATGAAAAATGAACGGCTGCTGCTAAAAGCCTCCCAGGGTGTTCTTGATCTGTGCTCCTGAGGAGAAAGTCAGGGACTTGGTCCCAGGGGCAGAGGATGTAGTGCCGGGTTGCAGGCTTTCTGACCTCTTCCAAGGGGATCAGGAAGGAAGGGACTAGAAATACCTTGGCCTCTTCTGCCTTCTTGCCTTTTGCCATGCTACTTACATCTTACTCAGCCCTTTCGGCGCCCCTCAGGTGATTTGAGTGCTGTCTTTTGTTTCTAGCTCTGATTATCTGACATCAGCTGAAATGACTGAAGTGATGATGAACACCCCAGCTATGGATGAGATTGGGCTAAGCACCCGCAAGGATGGTCTGTCGTACCAGGTAAGTGCTTTGCTGGCTGCTTGGGCAGTAAATCTCTTATGGAATTTACAGGGCTAGATGGCAAACCTGGTGTAGTGTACCTTTCCATAGCCTGAATACTAGCAGGTCTTGCTGTTGTGAGAACTAGTCAACAGACTAGAATGCCTGCTTGGCAGGATCCAGTTATCTAACACTTGGTATTGGACGAGATTGGCAAAGGACTTGATTGTTTCTGAAGTGTTTGAGCCCCCACTCACTCAGCCTTCATGAGGACTCTGTGGGAGGTAGGTTAAAGAAGGGTTCATTCTACTCACTGGGCCAAGAGGTCTCTGGGATCTCTTTGTAACACAGCATATGAATGATCTGCCTAGAGCAGGAAGGGAGGTGTTTCTAAGGCACATTTTTAATCTATTCTTTGGTTTTCCTGACTGATGGGCCTGTTTGAGGGAGTTAACAGTCTTATATAAGATTCTTTAAAGCAAGGGACAGCCTAAATGAGCCTTGAAAAATCACTAGAGTTATCAGTTCCTGAAGGTATGAGCTGCATCCATTCTGAAAGTTGTGAAGATGGTAATTAGTTACCTGTCATCCTCCAGATCTGAGTTGAACACAGGCTGAGCCTTAATCCTTTAGTCTCAATATCCCTTTAATTTTCTAGCTTATAGTTGATAGCAGAGTGAGTTGTGCATCTTAGCCTACTAGACCCGTATCTTTTTTTTGCTCTTCCAGGAGACTTGTTGTTGAGGTTTAACACATGTATCAGGTCATGCAGATGACTTGAATCTGGTCTGTGAATTGGGTGACTCCTGCAATTGAGATCCTTGTGCAGGTTCTTCCTTTGTGGATGTTACACAACCTGTAAAGAGGCAGTTGCTCTAAATGTGCATTCAAATAAGGTGTTCTGTTGTATGCTTGCATATTTATGTCTGAAAAATGAGCTAAAAGGCAGTAACAGTGCACTGAAGAATGAAGTCAGCTTAATTTTGGGCCATGGTTGAGGCCTCCAGCAGAAGCCCAAAGCGGTAGGGAGGAAAAGGGGGTGCATTGCTTTTTCTGGTTAGAATTCTGCATCTCAATAGTAGAAGTTGGTTGTTTTTTTGCCTGTGTGTGGCAATAGCTGTGCTGTGCTGCAGTGCTTGAGTTAGTGGAAAGTATATGGCCTCTCTTCCGTCCCCTATAGAGGGAAAGGGAGTGTACAGCAATGAGAATGGTTGTTAAATCAGAAGCAATTGAACTCACCTTTGTGGGAGGTTCAGTTGTGCTTATGGGTCACCATATAAAGAGGCTTAACCCAGTCAGATCAAATGCCTCTATTTACCTATTCAAATTTTCCAGTGAGAGGCAGAATCTAGGTGCCCTGCTTGTTCTAACAATTGCTTCAGTGAGGTTTTGCCTCTAGTGCTAATGACCTTGATAAGACTACTTGGGCCAACTAGAAAACAGGCCTGTTCAGTTTTGAGTGGATGAACAAAGCTTGAAGGTGTGTGAGTTGTAAGTATTGGCAACTCATATCTATGCAGGGCTCATGCATCCTGGATCTCTTCTTTGTAGTAGTCTATGACTTTTTTCAAATGCCTTCAAGAGCTGGGAGCTGCCTACTGGTATGTCACCTTGATGTAAACAAAACTGATGGTAGAAAGCCTTGAGGCATTGAAATGGAAGATCCTGATTAGCGGTGTGTGGGCTGTGAATGAGGTCTGTTTCTTAATCGGGTTAGTGTAAAGAGGATTGGGCATCAGGCTCTAGCCTTCCTTCTCTGGCTGCTTGGCTGAGAATATCACAGTGTACCTCAAGGTAAGTTGAAAGCATCCTTAAAGGGTTGAAAACTCAAGTTAAAACAGCAAGGACATATCCTATGGAATTTGCACCATGAACTTTTTGTTCTACCTTAGACTTTGGCACTTTGTGCTCCATCTTGCTGATGGAGAGAGTTTGGTACATGGAAAATTTTATGCTACTCTGAGGGCTGTAGTGCAATAACTTAAAATCAGACAGTGGTAATGGAGAGTGACTGCTCCCACACTGAGGCTTGTTCTAAGCTACAGCATCTTCCTCTACTCATCCATAGAGTTAAACACTGATTATGTGAGTATAACAGCCTTTGGCTAGCTACCAGAGCCAAAAAAAAAGTGGAGCCAGACCTGGGAGAGGCAAACTTTTAGTTTCAGAAGTTTTGCTCTAGTAGTAGAACCTGGATCTCTTTACTGCAGAGGTGACCTCGAAGGTTCAAAATGTCCCCCTTCTGGCTGTGTAGAGCAGGGACTGCCTGGGAATTGGTCCATGAGCCCTGGGGCTGCCTCTGCCACCATATGCTGACATTAAACTGTCTGGACCAGAGGAGTACAGCAGCTTTGCTGGAACTGCAAAACATCAGTATCTGCTGCAGCCAGACTTAGAAGCACTAGAATAGTTTGGCTTGGAAAGAGCCTTCAGAGGTCATCTAGTTCAACCACCCCTGCAAAAAGCAGGGACTTTTCCTACCAACAGTACTAGTTCAAAGTATTTTTGCTGTTACTTTGAAGTAAACTGAGGAAACAACTAAACTCATACGGAGTATATGTTTAAGCAATTTGATTCCTCTTTCCTGTGGAGTGCAGTGAATTTCAGGTCTCTTGTCTTGCTGGTTACAGAGGGAATTTGGCTTGTCAACTTCTTCCTTCTGCTTCCTCTACCCCATGCCCCTGCTTATGCTCTGGAGTGTGTCTGCATCAGCTTGAAGGTGTGGGGCTTCCCAGCCTTTGGTTGGCTGGTTCTTTAAACCATGATGTAAAAACTCAGACTGCAGAAGTCACTTTGGGTATAACCAAGTTGCCTTTGTGGGCTTAGTGATGTGTATTGTTTCATTTGCAAAATGTGCATTCTCAGCACAGAAGTGCCTTTTTTTCCAGTTAATATGCAAAGCACTTGTAAGCTAATGTGCTAATTTCAAAACCTTTCTATGTAAAGCAGTATTTCTTTCTGTAGTTGTGATGTAAAGCTGCTCTCTGAGGCTCCTGAAGATGGCTCAGCCAACCAATTTAAAGGGCCTGAGCACAAGTGAATGGAGAAATTGCGACTTAAGTCTCAGAGCAGAGTGGCATAGACAAAACAGAAGATGCAGCTGAAGAGATGATGTCATTCTAGGTTATGTGCCTGCAGTGAGGAGCTATTTCTGGGTCTTTAATAGTTGTCCCATAATTCCCATGAGACTTACTAAACAAAAAACTCATTGAAATTTAGCTGATGGTTCAAGATGCCCCTGCTAGAAGCATGGAGGGCTTTGTGTGCTCCCTGCCTGGCAGTCTCCAGCAATCTGGGCCTTTGTCACTGCCAGTCAGAGCTAATATACCATTTGCTATTTTCCAGCCCCTTGATATGCCCATTCTCCAAAAGCCTCATCAGCACTCTGATACTTGTGCTTTGATGCCATCTTGCATAAGCATGCATGATGCTACTAAAACAAAGACTGAATTAATAATTTTGTGGAGTGTTGTCAAAACAAGTGCCTCAGCCTGATTCCTGCCTTGCTTTTTGAAAGTGGAGTGGGGTCTGAACACAACTGAATGATGCCCAAAGTGTTTACTTTGACCAAATGCTGTGTCCTGAGTAAAATGTGCTATTTTATTGTAGACCAGCTGGCTGGCTTTCTGGTCCTGTGGAACTGTAGGCTCCCTTTTAGGAGATTGACCTGCAGAGGCTGAGCTTGCCTCATGCTGTCAGCTGGGGTTTGGTTGTTGTAGGGAGCTTGAGCTCTTAAGTCATGATCTTGCCATGCTGGGATCTGTCTAGGTTAATCACAGCCACAGCAAGCTGTGAATCATGTCAGACTGACTCAATTGAGGTAAGTAGGCTTAATGCTCCATCCAGTGTCTGGCAAAAGCTTGGGTCATCTGTCTTGTTGGGGAAAACATTTTTGGTGAATGCAACCTTCACCAGCACCAATGGAGCACTGACTTTCCCAGGGAGCTGTGGTGCACAGCACTGAGGGGTTTGAGCTGCATTCACTGCATCTCCCCAAAGCAAGTGGGGGACCAGCATATTTCTGCCTTGTTGACTGATGGTGAAGGGTAGAAATTGAGCTTCCTATGTAATTGTCTTTTTTGCTGGTAAGGTGCTTCATGTCTGTGCAGCCTTAATTTGTGCAAGGGAAGTCCTTATTAGAGCTGGTACTCGCTACTGTGGTGTCTGGGCTCCAAGGTAAAAATAGAAAGTGAATTAAGGATAACTGCAGCACACCCAATGCTGGGTTACTAAACCAGATTATTAGCAGTCTGAGTCAATGTGTTTTCCAGGGTCTGGGACTTAAATGGAGTTGGAAGCAGGATACGGGATAAACAGAGCCACAATTGATGATAAAAGCTATGCAATGCAAAAGAGTTCCACTGAAATGCAGACTCAAGACAGCAGCTACTCAGAACATCTCAGTGCATGTTTCTGAAGCCTTGTTACTCTGCTGGAAAACTGTTTGATTTATGAAGTTTATCTGCCACTGTTCTTCAAGACAGTGCAATCTGTGACTGGGGAGTTGTCATTGTTCTTAAACCTGAGTCATAGGCTGCTGTGAGCTCTGTTTTGAGTCATGACTACAGTGTGAATAAATGTATTAGCGCTGCTGCTTATAGCTGGAAAATTCCTACAAAGAGGACACTGAGATTATTTTTTATATTTCCTGAAATTAGTTTGCCATGCTTCTCAATGGCTATAAAGCTTTACTTTAAGGACTTAAAATGTTGATTTGAGATTTGGAATATTGGCTTGACACTGCTGAAGAAGCACAAAACTTTGCTTTTTAGTAGTGGGAGGGTGTGTGATATGTGTATATCAGGGGTGTGTATCCTATACCTGGAGTGGTATGCTTCTCAATGCAGACTTTACAGTCTTGTATTGCCACAGTGAAGCCAAGCTTCTGCCCAAAACAGTAACTTAATTTAGAAAGATCTCATTACTTTAATCTCCCTGTAACATAATTGAAGTAGTTTTCAGCCTCAAGGGAGGGGAGACAAGTATTTTAACTATGTGTGTTGACATGGAGTACATGTTGAAGGTGTTTTGAATTTACAAGTGTCACCTGGCTTATGGTAGCTCTGAGATAGTCCTCTTAGTTGTCTGACATCTCTCCTGCTTTTGGTGCTTCTCTGTCCCTGAGAATGCTGAGTGTCCTCAGGGCGAAGGAAACTTTCCATTCTTGTTGCCAAGATTTTGTTCAAGGATAGTAGAGCTAGATCATCTGCAACAGTGGCAAACATTGTCTTTCCAAAATAATTTCAAGCTTTTATGTCAGGTTCTGCTTTTCACTGCCCTTCTTAGCTGCAAGGCAAGAGCTAGGTCAATTTGTGTGTGATCTGGATTAGTCCACGAAGAGAGCAGTACCCAAAACATAACCTGGAGAGGTCTCTGAAAATCAGTCTTGCCGTGAGTGAGAAGCTGCGTTAAGTAGTGTAAGAAGCAAGATCTGTCTTCTGTGGCCTCTAAAGGGGCTGGATGCTTCTCTCCAGGGGCCAGGAGTTGGGACTCAGCTACAGAAAGGGGGAAGCTCTGTGTAAGCAGTTGCAGCCCCTTGTACTGTGTCATGCAAGAGAGGGGAAAGAAGATACTTTTCAATTACTGCTAGACTTGCTTTTAGGTAGCCTTCATTACCAGCTGGTAGTGGTTGTTGTGGGGATTAGCAAGTGAGCAACTTGGGCAGAAGCAGGTACCTGCTTCAGCTGTTGTGCAAGGTGGCTCCCTTTTTTATAAATGAGGGGGAGAAGTTGCTGCTGTTCTTCATGGGTGCTGGGGAGATGCAAAGTCCTCCTTGAACATGCCTGAGTTGGGTAATGTTAGCTGAAAGGCTTATAGGCAGGTTTTGCTAGACAAGCTGTCCTGGTTGCTGTTCAAAAGGGTGCAGAGCTAGAAGGTCAGAGCTGAGCTAGTGCACTCCTAGCAGTGACCTTACTGCAAGTTTTAGAGCTTTTTTCCTTCCTGTTGTCAAAAACTGGAGTGGATTAGGCTTAAAGGACCAACAAATGCAGCATGGCACTGCTGTAGTGGGACAGCAGAAAGCTGGTGCTTCTTTATTTTTTATAAAGAACCTGGCAATGTGGCTTATTTTGAAGTGAGTGAGGAGACTGTTTGGGGTAACTTTTTCACCAGTTTCCCTGGATGTGCAGTCTTAATCTGAAAACCTTTTTTCCTTCATTCTCTGTTTGGCCTACTGTGCTCCCCTGTTTGTCACATGTGAGGAAATCTGCCTTTGTGTATTTTTCCACTGACTGTCCACACCCCTTTAAAGTGCAGTTGTAACATCTCACTTCATGCTGCCTAGATGATTAAAAAGCATGACTTAGTGGAAAAAATCCTGGCCTTTTTGGGTTCAGCCTGTGCTGCAGCTGTTTGAGATAAGATTGTGCTAACTTTTCTTACTAGAAAAGCTGCATATCACATCTTGGGGATATTTGTTTGTAAGGAAATGACTACTACTTAATTTCTGGAAAAAATCTAGCAGGCTATTTTCAAACAAATTGTTCCAGTTTGACCTAGTGTGCTTAAAATGATAGCAGCCAAAGATTAGTTCAGTTATTATACTACTATTTTTCTTGCACAGGAGGCTATTTTCATGATGTTATCAGCTTATGTAACCTCCTGAACCACACTTCTTTTTCCACTGCAATCTTCTAAACCATGTAATGTCAAGGGTATTTTTTCCTATCCTCAGTTTAGATAAAAAGTTGACACTTACTGAGTGTACTTCCATTAATGCATTGCAGGTCTGAAACTGCCTTTGTTTGGCCAAGAAGATGGCACAGAGCTCCAAGAAATAGTTACTGTCTCACTTGTGCTGGGACTGACTAAGTAGCTTATACTGTTAATGGGGCCATGTTCAAAGACCTTGCTCACTCTTGTGCACCTGAAGAGTGGGCTGGGCTCCTGCACTGTCCCGAGGATCAGGCGGACCAGCCCTGGGGTTCGGTGTTACATTGATACTGAGTTGCGTGCCTGGGCACCTCCTCCCACAGTTACATTGCCTGACATTGCATTAGGTAGCAACCTGATGGCTTAGGATGGTAACCTGGCTGCTACAAAGCTTTGGGTGTGAAGGAGAGGTGTAGTTGAACAGTGAAAGACTGAATGTTGACAAAGAGGAAATGGTGTGAGACCTAGACAGGCTGGAGAGTAGGGCAGGGAGAAACCTGATGAAGTTCAACAAGGGCAAGTGTAGAGTTTTGCATCTGGGGAAGAACAACACCATGTCCCAGTACAGGTTGGGGGCTGACCTGCTGGAGAGCAGTGCAGGAGAAAGGGACCTGGGGGTCCTGGTAGACAGGAGGGTGACCATGAGCCAGCAATGTGCCCTTGTGGCCAAGAAGGCCAATGGCATCCTGGGGTGCATTAGAAAGGGTGTGGTTAGTAGGCCAAGAGAGGTTCTCCTCCCCCTCTATTCTGCTTTGGTGAGGCCACATCTGGAGTATTGTGTCCAGTTCTGGGCCCTTCAGTTCAAGAAGGACAGGGAACTGCTTGAAAGAGTCCAGCACAGAGCCACAAAGATGATTAAGGGAGTGGAACATCTCCCTTATGAGGAAAGGCTGAGGGAGCTGGGTCTCTTTAGCTTGGAGAAAAGGAGACTGAGGGGTGACCTCATCAATGTTTACAAATATGTAAGGGGTGAGTGTCAGGAAGATGGAGTTAAGATTTTTTCGGTGATGACCAGTGATAGGACAAGGTGCAAATTGATGCAAACTGGGGCATAGGAAGTTCAATGTGAATATCAGAAAAAACTTTCCTGTGAGAGTGACAGAGCACTGGAACAGGCTGCCCAGAGAGGCTGTGGAGTCTCCTTCTCTGGAGACATTCAAAACCCACCTGGACATGTTCCTGTGTGATGTGCTCTGGGTGACCCTGCTCTGGCATGGGGGTTGGACTAGATGATCTTTTGAGGTCCCTTCCAACCCCTAGGATTCTGTGATTCTGTGTGGTTCATACTTCCCAGGCTGAAGAACAAATTGATAGGATGATTTTCCACTTTGGGATTTGGGCCAGGCCTTCCCAAGGTGATGGGTATCTGCATGATTGGCATGAAGAGTATGGTGCTTCAGGGTTAATGCTCAGGGTTTCTGGATGGGAAAGCTGCTTTTGTAACTGGGACCACAAAGGTAAAAGCAGATGAGCTCTTCTGCTCCAGCTGATGCATCCATGAGTAGTGTGCCTCTCTGAGGCTGTTCCCTGCCAGGATGCTCTGACAGCTCTCTGGAATGCAGCTGTGTTCAAATAAAAGTACAGTGCCTGGCTTCTTGCCTCATCTACAACATGGAGGGGAAAATGCATTTTGTGGGGTGTGTAAATGCAACTATAATGTGTAATGAGCACTCTGATAAAATTGTTTCAAATCAACAGGTGGCAATTGTTTTAATTTTCTGGTTACCAAGCAGGGGATCTGAAGTGGCAGTTCTTCTGGGTGAGGTTGGTTTGGAACCTGTTCCCCTACTTACAGGGTATTCCTCTAAGTAACAGCAGCCTTTCTCTTCGTACTGCAGTTCTGTCATTCAAACCTCGTGCTCATACTGCACTGCAGTGGCAGTTTTTCCTGTACCTGTGTCTTTGCCTCAGTGATCCTAATATGATCACAGTGTGCATCCCAGTGGTACTACTGGTCAGTTTGTGCCCTGGTACTGCTACAGTGCATGAGCACATGCACCCCTGTGGCACCCTGTGGGTGGGAGGGAAGGGGTAAGGTACTGCTCTGTACACCTTGGAGGCCTGGAGATAGAGGTTCTCGTTCTTTGCACCAGGGTACATAATTGCTGGCTATGCCACAGGTTTCTTCTGCCCTAAGAAAAATGGTTCAGTCTCCAACCCTTCTACAAAATGATTGTCCTGCTGAGTTTAACTACTGATGTTTGGTAGCTGTAGCATGAAGAGGAGTCCCAAAATTGTCTCTAAAATGCAGCTGAACTTCTCTTTTGGTCTGGTGCTGTGGCCCTGGAGTAATACCAGGTGCAGGCATTTGCTGCAAGGGTCTGGACTGCTTTAGCACTGTGTTGCACTGTCTTCTCCCTTCTTACAGCAAAGCTTGGAACACAAACCTGTTTTTGTGTGCAGCTTGCCCAGCAGCAGGAAATGAGACCTCAGATTCTCTGATCGAGATAGCTTAGGATGCAAGCTTTCTTGAGCATTAATGCAGAAGTGTGGTGGTGGAGGTGAAGAATTTGGATAAATATCCAAAAAGGCAGATGCTGAGAACTATCCAAGCAAACTTGTGCATTGGAAGCCTCTTGGGCAGCACTTTTTCCCAATACTCAGAGATAAGAAAGTTTACTTACAAGGTCAAGAGTCTTTCCATTACTGTTTACTGTGCCCAGACTCATCTGCCCTGAAGACCCAAGTGTCTTGAGACAGTTTTGGTTTGAGGTTTTGGCTGAGACTGCTTGAATGCAGCCCCTCTCACAGACTGTTTCTTGGCTCTTTCAGATCTTCCCTGATCCCTCAGACTTTGACTGTTACTGTAAGCTGAAGGACCGCCTGCCCTCCATCGTGGTGGAGCCAACAGAGGGTGATGTAGAGAGTGGTGAGCTGAGATGGCCCCCTGAAGAGTTCCTCGTGCAGGAAGATGAGGAAGAAAACTGCGAAGATGCAAAGGACAAGGAGCAATAAATGGCATTTGAGGAATGGCAAGGAACTGCACCCCTCTGAAAGAAGAGCTGCACTTCTTTTGAAAGTCTTTTTTTAAAAAAAAAGACAAGTTCAAATTTGCACCTGCAAGATCTTTTTTGGTTTTTTTTGTATTCTCTGTAACTGAAGCCCTTGGTGTAACCAGACCTCCTGAGGAAGGAAGGGAAGAAGTAATGCAGAGAAATTTTTTCTGTTCTCGAGATCACTATCTGTATTTTTCCCCAAGGTGAAGGTAGCAGTGAAGTTCCAAGCACATGGCAAAGGGTGACCATGTGAGGACTGCTGGATGGGTGAGCTGGGAAGGGAGGAAAGTCAGAGGTGGCAGTGCTTGTCTGGGAGGGCTCTGATTTAGAAGTGTGAGAACAGAGCCATCATCTCTCAGGTTTGCCTTTCTTACGGCTTCCATGTTATGTGTTGGGGGTAGAAGGGTGTCTGTAGCAAAGCATGGCTAAATGCTCTAGTGACAAGGAGCCTGTAGCTGTCCCTGGTTTGACACCTTCTAGGGTTACATGAGCATGTGTAGGAGTAGTTGGGTTTCCTACTCTTGCTGTGGAGCTTTTTTCCAGCTACTTTTCCCAAAGCTGTTTTCTCCCCTTCTGTTTGCCTTTAGACTCTTCCATGCTAAACAGCTGTATTTGCAGGATAATATTAGGCTGCTGCTTGTCATATCTACTGTCAGGCCCTAGTTTATCTTGCAGGTGGTTAAGCATGAGGTAATGTGCATTACATGTAAAGATGCTTCTCTCTTCAACAAGAGCTAATGTAGGTTTGAACACCCTGGGATTTTTTTCTGTTTGCTGAGGCTGCTGTGGATGGGCACTGTACAACTTGAGATCAAAACTAGAGGGCAGGGATTACTCTTCCACCTTCATGTCCTTGAGGCTGTTGTGTTTCATGTCTCCAACTTGTTCGTCAGTAGGCTCCTGAGGATTGGGATGGAGGATCTCAGAGCCCTAGCAGTGCATGACCTGCTGGTACGGATGTGCATGGTGGGGAGTACTGTCAGACCTGAAGGAAATCCAAAGACAAAACACCAGATCTAGCATGGATCACCAGTGGGAGAGGAGCTTTTGATTAGGGGGCCTGCTGGAAGAGGATTAGCCTGTGTGTCCTGAGACAAAGTGCACTTCTGCTTCATAGCAAGGGTGAAACATTCATTGTTGTTTGAAGTGCAGACCAACTTGTGAAGTCTTTGGTTGTGTCGTCTTTGCCATGTCCTGATCCAAGGAGAAGTCATCTGTCTCTGGGGAGAGGAGGCCAGTCTGCTGCCAAACAGGGTAACTTGCTGCTTTCTTGGGAAGTGATGATCTTGCAGCTTCAGGGACCAGCCTGGGAACCAGTTGGTCTTGGGATAGGATGAAAATGGTTACCACCTAAACAAAATCTGGGGTCGTGGAAGAGAAAGAAATATCAAGGCCTTAACCAAACTTTCATAGTAATCTCAGTGTGCCACTCCCCTTTGCTTATAATTGGTTCAATTTTTAAAATCTATTTGGACATGTGTATTTGTATTTCTAACACCTCATGAGTAGTTAAATGCTGGTGGGGTTTGGGAACTGCTTTTAACATATTGGCAGGATTGTTTTGGTCTTGTCTTGCTTGTGTTTAAACATAAAGGCAATAATTTATCAGGTCTGCATAACTGTTTCAGACAGGTAAGAGTTTGGAGATGAGTTAGCACAAAGTAGAAATTTAGCATTTCTACACTGTGGCTGGTCTCTGCTCCAGCAATGTAGACTGGCTTATACACACTCCCTGCCCTCCTTGGTGGGTGGTCATGATGTCATAACATTTTCTCTAGCAATGGTTTCAGCTGCTGTATCTGTAACACATGTTCTAATCTTGCTGTCTTAGTGGAATGAGCTTGTACACTTGCATACCAGCCATTCTTACTTCTAGGTGTTATTCTTCATAGGCCTCTACTGTCTCTATCACCAAGTCAAAGCTGTATACCATGAGGGCAGCAGAGAGATGGCAATCCTTGGACTTCAGACCTGCTGTCTGCATCTCTTTTTTGGATGTATTGTCTATATTTCTATTTGTTGTTGAAATGTATCTAAAGTAAAACTCCTATATTTCTGTAGGTCTTTTTTGAGCCTCAGGGAGAAGCTAGCATTTTTTTCAAACTGCATTTTTGTCACTGTGACAGTTGTAAATAAAGTTTGAAAATACTTTCCAAACATACTGGCTTTGTTCTTACTGCCAAAGTGGGTTGGGATGATCAACCTTCCAGATAATGGCCAGTCCTTGTGTTTCAGGTCTGAAGTGTTCTGACTTGCAAGGCTAATGCAAATCTCTGAAAAGACTCATATCTACCAGTTGAGGCTGTTCTGTGAACCTGGAGACACGTGTTTCATGCATGTGACTGACCTTAGAGCATGTCCTATGGGATTGTAAGCCTGAAGAGGGGCAGTATCTTTGCCTCTCATCTTCCCACAGTTGCTGAGTGAAGAGCTGCAGCAAAGTGGTGCTCCAACTTATGTGGTTCTGAAAAATCTGTATTTCTATGTATAACTCCTTACCTGTGATCTATGTCTAACTTCTTACTTAACCTTACAGAGCATGAACTCATGGGGAGTGGAGGCTATTCTTGGCTGCCTTTAGTACTGATGCAGTACCTGTGTATGCTCCCTGGGCCTGTGCTTGCCCTGAGCAACAGCTATGAAGATAAGAGTTGCTGTGCTGGGTGCTGTTATGGTCTCAGCTAAGCTATCTGGGGTTGTGTGCTAGGGGTCTTCTGGGTCTAGAGGTCAGCTCTTCTTGAGTAGTATGTTGTGCATTGCCACACTGATAGCTGGGTGCAACAGCTTTCAGTACTGTTAGAGGAAGACCTGTAGGAAACTAGTGGACTTGTGTAAACAGCATGAAGTTCAGCAAGGTCAAGTGCAAGGTCCTGCACCTGGGTTGGGACAATCCCAAGCAATAATACGGGCTGGGTCTAAAACAGTATGGAGGAGAGGGACTTGGGGGTGATGGTGGACAAGTAGCTCAACATGAGCTGGCAGTGTGGGCTCATAGCCCAGAAAGTCAACTGTGTCCTGAGCTGTTTTAAAAGAAGCATAGCCAGCAGGTCAAAGGAGGTAATTCCTTTACTAAGCTCTCATGAGATCCACCTGGAATACTGTGTCCAGTTCTGGAGCCCCCAGCATAAGGATATGGAGCTCCTGGGGAAAGTCCAGAGGAGGGCCGTGAAGATCGTCAGAGGGCTGGAGCACCTCTCCCATGAAGACAGGCTGAGGGATTTGGGGCTGTTAAACCTGGAGAAGACAAGGCTCTGGGGGGACCTCATAGTGGCCTCCCAGCATCTGAAGGGCATCTTCAGAAAAACTGGGGAGGGACTTCTTACAAGGGCTTGTAGGGAGAGGATAAGAAGTGATGGATCAAAACTGGAAGAGGGAGATCTAGGTTAGACATTAGGAGGAAATTCTTTAGTGTGAGGGTGGTGAGATACTGAAAGAAGGTTGCCCAGGGAAGTTGTGGAAGCCCCAACCCTGGAAGTGATAAAGGGCAGGTTGGACAGGGCTTTGAACAACATAATCTAGCAGGAGGTGGCCCTGCCCATGCAGGGAGGGTTGGAACTAGGTGATCTTTAAGGTCCCTTCCAACTTCAGTAATTTTATGATGACTCTATGATGACAATGATTTGAGTGTGAGTGTCCTGGCATGTAGGAATCTGACCATCCCAAGTTTCACTAATTCAAAGTGTATACTTAATGGGATTAAATTTTCCATTAAAGCCAGGTGATAAGCAAATGCTGTGGAATACTGGGGTCTTTCAGATATATGGAGAGAAGCTCCTGTGATTTGGCAAGTAATAGGCTCCAATCCTACACAAATAAACTGGGCTGAGGCTAGAGTATTATGTTTACATGAGACTGGTTTAAATACACTTAACTAATCATTCTCCGATTTAATGCTTGTACTAAAGGCATGCTCAACACGAGCCCCATGGTTCAAAGATTAATTGTGTCATGCTCAACCCTTCTGGACCTTCTGTGCCATAGAAAGATAAATGTAATGTTGAAGCTTGCCTCTTCTTCAGTCAGCTTGCAGCTGAGGTGCCTTGATTTCTTTCCATCCTTAGGCATTGTGATACTTTCCTTGTAGAAGCTACTGCAGCATTTCCAAGATGATGTGCTGGTCTGAATTCAGTGACGAACTTTAGTCCCAGCCCATAATGTGTCTGGTTAAAATGTAGCACTGATAAGGGAAGCTGCTAATGAATTTAACTTCTCTGCTACCTCCATGTGCTGCTTCACACAAACAGATTTTTCAGGCTTAAGTCACAATGAAGCCACTCAACTTTGTTTCCTGATGCATCTTGCTATTTTGGGGCTAGATCAGAAGGGCTGGCCTCTGAGCAGGGCTCACTCTGCCTGAGGGTCTGCCTTGCATCGACCTGAAAAACTGCTGGCAGGAGAGCAATGGTGGGAAGGAGGCTCTTCCTGGTCCTTGTGCTCCAGCTGTTTTAGCTCCAACCTTGAACTTGTATCACCAAATGAAAATGGGCTTGCTGGTGAATGGGTCAGCAGTCATCCCAAGAACTTCATGGGTATGTGGACCTTTCTTTGCACACTGAGCAACAAATCTTCCTCTGAATCTCAGACTTCAAGCATTTGTCCTTCTCAAAAGCTTTGCCTTGTAGTTAGAACTGATGACACAGCAAGCTGTGCACTACTGCCCTGCTTAATTCATGCTCTCCCAAATATTTGGTTTATTGTTTTTTGTGTGTATCCATTTCTGTTTGGCTTTATTAAAGTACACAGTCACTTGAAATGCACTGTGCAGACCAGCTGTTGGTGTGTGATTTTTGCTTATGTTTGGTTGTTGCTCTGCAGAAGTGTGAAGATAATTCACCATTAGAGCTGCACATGGGGAGAACACCTCACCCTGGTCACACACCAGCTTACTGCATGTCAAAGTCCTGCTCCAGTGAAACCACACTGCTCTTTATCATTGCAAGCAACAGGAGAACCAGCATT